CAGAGACGGCTCAATAAGCCATCTGCCGAGGCCCTAAAAGGCCTTCCGGCACCAGGTGTTACCCTGGTGTCAACCTGGGGTGGGATTTCCTCCCTTCAGCATTGGGACTTCTGCCCTCTGGGAGTGGGTCCTCCAGGGTGGGACCTTTTCCCCTCACCCTCCCAGGCCTTCAGCTGCCTCTCCAGAGACAGCTGAAAGCCAAGGAGGGTCAGGAAGGAGGAGGACACCTCTCCCTCCCCTGGCACACTTCCTCCTCCTCCTCCTGCGCTATTCTCGGCCTTCAGTTGCCTCCAGAGAGGCAGCTGAAGGCTGGGCAGGGTCAGGAAGGAGGAGGAACAGGTATGCGCCTCTTCCTCCTCCTCCCCACCTTTTGCGTGCCAGAGAAAATGGCTTCACATGCCATCTCCAGCATGTGTGCCATAGGTTCGCCATCATAGCTCTAGATTCTCTCTCATTTGATTCAGCAAGGCAGGGGATAACAAAACAATAAGGCAGAAAACACTTTCAAATACTGGAGAGATATAGCAGGTCAGACAGAATGAAGGGAAGAACTTCACGTTATGGCAAACATAACCTGACTTCCTCCAGTTTAAAGAAGTTGTCATCTTACCTTTATGCAACTGAGCCTAAAGGTAAGCAAATGTCCATGACTTAAAATCATACATGTCTATGCAGTGAAAATGCAGTTGCTTTTATCAATTCTCTTCTAAATCTCTGTTTATTTTAACTTGTAATTGATTTAATAACTTTTTAAGGTGTGGGTGGGAGGTAATTTGTTTTTATTGTTGCACTGCACTTTTTACTATAAGCCGCCCTGATTGATCTCAAAGGGGCGGGGTATAAATTATTATTATTATTATTATTATTATTATTATTATTATTATTATTATTATTATTATTAAATAGCTATTACATATTTGCCATTTGTCAAACTCATTCAACTCAGTGCCCCTCATCTCCTCTTTTTCCTTATTGATTTGCCCTCAGTGTCCCTGGAGCCAAGTATGACAGCTCAGCAATTAAATTTATAAGTTTTGCTTTTAGATGCAGTCCAAAGTATTCTTGGGTGCAAATCCTAGATCTGCAATGTCTCTGTTTCCATCCAAAGGGCCAAGTCCTAAGCAGTAGAGCCTTCTCTGACAGCCATTCATTTGGCGTCATTCTAAAAGGAGCAGATTCAGCAATGGATGGAGACAGCAAGTCTCTCAAATGCATGCAAAGTTTTCTTGCCATCATCACATTACTGTCTTGTCAAGTTTACTTCAAGCTCTTACTTGTTCTGCTCACTTATCTACTATATTATGTGGTTCTCAGCTTTAAATCAATAATGAGAAATTTAATGGAGATTTTCTTATTAAGTAGGTAATTTGTTTATGGTAATATCCATGCTTCAGTTTAAATAAAATGTGGATTAGACTTTGGTGACTTAAAAAAAACCACATCTTGGAAAGAATTATAATCAGTTACATGTCTTAGAAGCTGTCTAACAAATGGCAAGTCTTTAAGTGGGTTTGTAATTAAAAGGGCTTCAGGGCTGCACAGCCTGATAATGTTGCTGCAAGGAGTGAAACAAGTAGAGAGACCTTGAAGCTCTATTTTGTCATTTTAATTTATTTTGATTTAACTATGTTAATTTAAATAACATTAATTCAATTTAATAAATAATTAATACTTAACAAGTATTGAGCTTAATATAGTAAAGTTTGGCTTTGTTTTAACTGGAATGTGGACAAACTGTGAATCTGTGATATATCTCTTCTCATTTTCATGTTTTATCTTTGTTAGAAGAATAAAGCTAGAGGTTCTCTACATTTACCTGCACATGACTTCTAGTTCAGTGAAAAAGGGGAAAAAAAATAGGTGACATTGATAGTCAATTCTCCACGTATTTTTACCTTAAATCATCCTCTAGATCCTCTAAAACAATATTAATTTGGATAACCCTTATTTATCTTTTCTGTGACAGCATTTTGACTCTTATTTGGATGCATCAGTAATTGGTTGTTCCTTTTCCTAAAAGCAAATCCAACTGAACCTGATAGTTTACTTCTAAGCAAACCTTCACAAGAAAGGCTTACACTAACTCTGTAATGGAGGAGCCAGTACTGGCAACATAAATCCTGCCTGAAAGATATGTGAACATGTATATTCTCCAACTATCCTCTCATTCCACTTTTTAGAGGTTCTTCCCAACTTCTTTCATTCTCCCACTTTCCCCCTCTGTCCTCAGCTTACTTCAATTGCTGCAAACTGAGTTTAAAGTGCAAAAGCAGTTTTTAACTCAGCAGTGGGGAGAGGAGAGGTGGGAGTTGAATCTTGCCCTTCCCAGAAGGCTCAGACAAAAGCAAACTGTTATAGCCTCACCTAGCTTGTGTGTTCCTTATTAATAACTTTTGCCATCTTGCTCACACTCTGATATTGCTTGACTTCGCATGTCCTTGTTTTCATCTGTGAAGGAGTGTATGAAAATACTATTTCTTATACACAGCACACTTCTGCTCCTGCTATCCACAGCTTGTGTGCTGAGAAGCGAACTTTATACTACACATCTTTTGCCTTTTGCTATATTAATTCCTTCTATAAATATGTCCTTTAGACACTGTACCAAAATCTCATCTTGCTAAATAATCACGTGCAAGAGAAGATTGTGTTGGCTCACAGAGCGCTGAGACTGCAATGGTTTGATATATTTAATGAGTCAAAACTCAGTATTGAATATAAATGTGTAATTTGACAGAAGCTTAGCTGTTATCTTTGTTCTGCTGCACAGATGGAAGCCCAGTTTATGCAAGTGCACACTCTGCTATTGTTTAACCTTTTTTCATATCCATATACACTCTCAACATGCTCTGCCTCCTACACCTGAATCATTCCTGCCAAGACCTGAAAACTATTACTGTATATTGAGTGGAAGTTATAGAAGAAGTCAGACTGATCATCTGCCTTTGTGCTGATTTTGTAAACTAGCAAACTGCCCAATATGTATTTTGAAACTGCCATAGTCAGCCACACTGTTAAAATATGCTCACACATTGGAACTTTAAACAACAATGACCAAGACGAGGGGACTGCATGGAAATGTCCAATGAAGAGAAAATGTGTGCATGAAAAACAAACTATCTATGTTCTTTCTCAGTGAGATCATCCACATTCACAATATTCAAATTGTACCACTGAAAGATTTAAGGTGAAAATTTGAAGCATAGCACTCATTTTTCACTAGAGGTACTTCCAAGAGCAGGGTCTCTTTCACAACACACAGCTCTAGCAGCATTATTCCATCTTATCTGCAATGATTCTGTCCAAGGGAATTCTGGAAATTTCTGGTGTAGGGAATTGTTTGGAAATCTCAGCTAAGAAGCTCTGTGCCTACAAACCCTAGGATTCCATAAGATATGGCCACAACAGTTAAAGTGGCATCAGAGTGCTGTAAATGTGTAGTGTGAAAAGGACTCAGATTTTTATCCAGCAGCATTTGTGTCTGAAACACAGAATTTTATGGACAGTCTAGACATAGTCATCTCTCATTTATAACACTCCTATAGTACTCTACCACATATTCTATCCTTTTTCATATCAGAAAAGATTTTATTAAAGAAGAAAAGACAGAATAGGGTCATGCTGTGTTTTGATTTATAGTGCTAGGAGTGTCTGGAAGCACATACAGTGTTTTGTTTGGTATGCAGAAAGTGGCAAACTGAAGGGTTCAAGGCAATGGGGTACCTGAACTTTAAGATGAAAGGAAAAACTAGCAGGGGATATCCACTTTAAAAGAAAATCAAACATTCATTTCACTTTCTGCCCCAAAGGAGCCCACGATTCAGCTACAGGAAAAGCAGTAAAAACTATATAATTTATGTGCACATCTACACTTCTCTTTTAACTTAGGTTCTCACTAAAACCTCACTGAATAGTACACTAAATTTTGTATATGAACAACACAAGCCACTGTATTAGAGAAGTGGAAAACAAAATATTATGAACCTGAAGTATCTGCAACTCTCTGTTCTTTGACAGTACAGACATACATAGAGGTACATTATAGAAATGGACAAAAACTCTTGAAAATCTAGAAGTACAACTGATGTCATAGAATCATAGAGTTGGAATAGACCACAATAGTCATCCAGTCTAACCTCCTGCCATGCAGGAATACACAATTAAAGCATCCTCAACAGATGGCCATCCAGCCTCTTTTAAAAAACTTCCAAAGAAGGAGACTCCACCACTCTCCAAGGCAGCATATTTAACTGTCAAACAGCTCTTACAATCAGGAACTTCTTCCTAAAGTTGAAGTGGAATCTCTTTCCTGTAGTTTGAATCCATTGCTCCATATCTTAATCTCTGGCACAGCAGAAAACAAGCTTACTCCATCTTCCATATGACATCATTTCAAATATTTAAACATGGTGTGGCATAGTGGTTAGAGTGTTGGACTACGACTCTGCAGACCAGGCATCGAGTCCCAGCTCCACCATTAAACTCTCTGGGTGACCTTGGCAAATCACATACTCCCAACCTCAGGGGAAGGCAATGGCAAACCTCTGAAGAAATCTTGCCAAGAAAACCTCATGATAGGTTCAGCTTAGGGTCACCATAAGTTAGAAACAGCTTGAAGGCACACAACAACAACAAACCATGTTTATAGTAACTACTCTTCTGCCTGGTGTAATGGTTTGAGTGTTGGGCAACAGCTCTAGAAATCAGGGTTTGATCCCTTACTTGGCCGGAAACCCACTGGGTGACTCTGGGTGAGTCACACACTCTCAGTCCCAGAAAATCATATGATACATTCACCAAGAAGGCAGTTTCCAACTCTCCTTCACAAAGCAGATTTCACATTCTGATACTTTCCTCTTCCATTCTAGAAGTTTGGAAGGCTTTTCCAACAGCTTAATTAGCCACCACAAGAGGTTTAAGCCAAAGTATGCTGATATCTCAGGGCCCCACCATTTTATCTTTGGCACCATCCATCATTAGACTGAGGAACCCATGAGCTTCTCTGAAAGTGAATTTGGCTCTGGTTATAACAGAGAATCCTTATTCTCGTAGAGTGGGTCCTTGGTATCCAATGGATTGAGTTCCATGACCCTTCCATGGATACCAAAATCCATGGAATCCATGAAGTCTCATTAAATACAGTGGCATAGTAAAATGGTGTCTCTTATGTAAAATGGCAAAATCAAAGTTTGCTTTTTGGAATTTATATAGGTATATTTTTAATATTTTCAAGCTGTGAATTATTGAATCCATGAATTAAAAATTCGTGGATATGGAAGGCCAACTGTACTCCATTTCAGATCTATTCTGTGTGAATTCTTCAAGGAGAGGAACCTCAGTGGTATCCTTTGGCCTCCTGTTTTGTAACATCTTAAGTTGGTAGGGAACCAAAAGTCCTGTGGCAAGGAAACTACCACTTCCTAACCTCTGCTATTCCATACTGGCTTGGATGCAAAATCTGGAGGTGCCTTTTCCATGTTACCTTTTTGCAATTGGGCCTTTTTAACATTTTCCCTCCCACTGAAACTAACTGGAAGGGAAAGTATCATGCCAGATTTCAACACTTCAATGAGCATGGCAAGGAAAGGAGAGGAGTTTGGATCTAGGAGATCCATGGCCTCTCCCAATCTGTTCCTATCACATCTCTTTTTACACTCCACCACTACAGAAATATCACTATAGATGCATCTGCTATGAGAAAGCTTTTTGCTTACATAGTGATGCTTCTTTGGAGCCACAGTAGTGGCAGTAGTGCACAGATGGCATTCCCTTCTGTCAGCTGAGAGGAACATCTTCAAAATTCCAGGGATCATCAGAATGTATGGTTGTTCCCTCAGCTATTTCTATGGGTATAACCTGCTATTGCCTGTATTGTTTATCCAGGGGTAGGCAACCTTTCCCCTTTAAGGGCCGAGGGACTTCAGCTCCCAGAATCCCAGGAGCTATTGGCCAACATGGGACTATTGGCCAACATGGCTGAGGCTTCTGGGAGCTGAAGTCCCTCGGCCCTTAAAGGGGAAAGGTTGCCTACCCCTGGTTTTATCCTTTTTACTTATTTACTTATCTCATTTATTTTTGAATTTTTAAAGAAAAATTATAAATTTCCATGAACATATTTTATAGGACAGAGCAGTAAAAATAGTTTAAATAAACAATAATGGAAAAAAAGTGTAATGGGTACAATCCACTTCAGGGCCAGTTGTGACCCAGTTGCCATTGCTTTCACAACTATTACATTTGGAGGCATTTGGACCACAAAGGAAAGTAACAGATGATTCAAAGCAATGACGAATCCTGGCTGAGAAATTATTCCAAAACTTGACAAACACCCACTTCCCTGTCACCTTTCAGGTTTTCAAAGTCCAAAATAGAATGCAGAAATTTATTGTACAAAGGGGGAGAGATAAGAGAAATGAAGGGGAAATGACATATAAAGAGATGCAAGCCCTTCCTTTACATCTTTCACTTTCAACAGCTTTCACTTTCTGTAGAACTAACACAACATCAAACCACCAGAGACAGTAACAGGAATCAAATGAGAGAGACTTCTGTGTGTATGTGTGTTAAAAGAGAGAGGGAGGAGATTAGCTACATGCATTAGCTGTAATATTTTAAGGGTAACCCCAATAGGATTCATCAGTTGATGGCAATTAACATTTCAGTGTTTTTCAGCAAAAGGTTCATTGAGGATACAAAGAGCTGGCTCTGACTACAAAAAGAACAAATGTGTTATGCCAATTAAGATGAACTAATAATGGCAAGGGAGGGAAGATTATGCAGTTCTTGATCATATGCAACATACATGTTGTTGTAAGAATTATAATGGAAAAAGTTCCAAGATGGTAGGTTTTATAAAATTATAAAAATATAAATATGTACTGTATATACTTGACTATAAGTCGACCTAATGTGTAAGTTGAGGGCATGTTTTGGGGGCAAAATTATGGATCTTGATATGACGTGGATAAGTCAAGGGTAAATATAGGGGCATGAAACTAAGCTTGTAAAGGGCGAAGCAAAGGAAAACAATGACAAATTAGCAGCCCTAGGTCCAATTCTAGTTCTGATCTCAAAAATGCGACAGTGTTTGCGACAAATGGATCACAAAAATGCGACAGTGTTATCTCCTCTCTAAGAACAACAGGCAGACACTAAAGAATACCACCCTCAGAGAGTGATGCATTGAAATCAACATACCAAGAGTATGTTCCTACACTAGTCTCTAACTTGATTTCTGGACTGCTGGCTGCATTGACCACCTCAATAATTAAGGGAAGGGCAAGAGGCTTGAGAACCTAAGTTGATGTATGGTGACATAACACATTTCACATCTCATTTTGTCCTTGGCATTCTAATTAATTAACTTTGTTATAGAATCATAGAGTTGCAAGATTCCTCCAGGGCCATCCCTTCCCCAACCCCCTGCCATGCAGGAACCCCCAACAGATGGCTATCGCACCTCTGTTTAAAAATGGCCAAAGAAGGAGACTCCACTACACTCCAAGGCAGCATATTCCATTATCAAGTAGCTCTCACCATCAGCATGTTCTTCCTAATGTTGAGGTGGAATCTCTTTTCCTGTGGTTTGCATTGATTGCTCCATGTCCTAGTCTCTGGAGCAGCAGAAAACAATCTTGCTCTATCCTCAATGTGACATTCCTTCAAATATTTAAACAGGGCTATCATATC